TAAGTTTCTTTGTAAGTCCTTAAGAACTTGCCCTATGTATCTGGGTGCTCCTGTATTGGGTCCATATATGTTTAGGATCGTTAGCTCTTCTTGTTGTATCTATCCTTTAACCATTATATAATGGCCTTCTTTGTCTCTTTTGATCTTTGTTACTTTAAAGTCTATTCTATCAGAGTTGAGAATTGCAACTCCTGCTTTTTTTTTTTTTGCTCTCCATTTGCTTGGTAAATCTTCCTTCATCCCTTTATTTTGAGCCTTTGTGTATCTTTGCATGTGAGATGGGTTTCCTGGATACAGCACACTGATGGGTTTTGGATTTTTATCCAATTTGCCAGTCTGTGTCTTTTGATTGGTGAATTTAGTCCATTTACGTTTAGGGTTAATATTGTTATTTGCAAATTTGATACTGCCATTTTGATGCAAGCTGGCTGTTTTGCCCATTAGTTGATGTAGATTCTTCATTATGTTGATGCTCTTTAGCATTTAGTGTGATTTTGGAATGGCTGATACTGGTTGTTTCTTTCTATATGTAGTGCCTCTTTCAGGAGCTCTTGTAAAGCAGGCCTGGTGGTGACAAAATCTCTGAGTACTTGCTTGTTCGCAAAATATTTTATTTTTTCCACACTTATGAAGCTCAGTTTGGCTGGATATGAAATTCTGGGTTGAAAGTTCTTTTCTTTAAGGATGTTGAATATCAGCCCCCACTCTCTTCTGGCTTGTAGAGTTTCTGCCGAGAGATCTGCTGTGAGTCTGATGGGCTTCCCTTTGTGGGTGACCCGATTTTTCTCTCTGGCTGCCCTTAGTATTTTCTTTTTTATTTACCTGCTGAATCTGACGATTATGTGCCTTGGGGTTGCTCTTCTTGTGGAATATCTTTGTGGTGTTCTCTGTATTTCCTGCATTTGAGTGTTGGCCTGCCTTGCTAGTTGGGAAAAATTTTTCTGGATAATATCCTGAAGAGTATTTTCCAGCTTGGATTCATTCTCTTTGTCACATTCTGGTACACCTATCAAATGTAGGTTAGGTCTCTTCACATAGTCCCACATTTCTTGGAGACATTGTTCATTCCTTTTTGTGCTTTTTTCTCTAATTTTGGTTTCTTGTTTTATTTCATTGAGTTGATCTTCGACTTCTGATCTTCTTTCTTCTGCTTGGTCAATTCGGCTATTGAAACTTGTGCATGCTTCGCGAAATTCTCATATTGTGTTTTTCAGCTCCTTCAATTCATTCATATTACTCCCTAAGTTATTTATTCTTGTTATCATTTCCTCGAATCTTTTTTCAAATCTTCTTTCAAGATTCTTAGTTCCTTTGCATTGATTTAAAACATGTTCTTTTAGCTCACAAAATTTTCTCATTATCCACCTTCTGAAGTCTAATTCCATCATTTTGTCACAGTCATTCTCCGTCCAGCTTCGTTCCCTTGCTGTAGAGCCTTAAGATTTTAGAGCAAAGCCATACCATCCTTGTGGATAACTACTCAGTTTTTGGGAAAAAGCATTTGTCTTGCTACTGGGTCTTAGCAGAGAGTGAATGCTTACCAATGGCCTCCAATTTACTGTGAGACCTGGCTACTGCACAAAAGCCAAATGTGGTCTGACCAACCAGCTGAAAAGTTGGACATTCACAGCAGCTCTCCACTGTCAACTATAAATGGTCTATGTGAGATCAGGCTCAATTAAGCAGGCTTTGAAGGCACATGAAAGCTGCAGGAAGATGGTTCCCAAGCTCTGGAGCCCTTACTCCTGCCCCATTACTTTCTCACTCTAGTCTGCACCTGTAGCCAGAGACCCCACATATGGAGTCTTTCCAGAAGTTCACCTCTGTTTGGGCGCAGGAGGTTGAAGACACACTTGAGAGTTCCCACGCATGCTCAGGAGCACACGCAGCTGTGAATAAAAAAGCGCGCCGACAAAAATACACATGCGCATGGGCTTCAGTGTGCACCAGCGTAACTGTGTGGTCCTGTTGTTCCAGTTAACCCGAGCTTCTCAGGTAACCTGGCGGTCTGAGATGTGAGACCTTCAGGCAAATACCAGTGACAGACAGACGGGCGCGACAAAGGATGGCAGCGACATTCCTCAGGCAGAGGTAGGCGGCTGTAGGCGGGATCTGGGCCGCACGGGGGATAGACCCCGAGCCGTGACTCCGCCTGAGTGCGGCTCCGGCCTGGCTGCTGTCCCACGCCCCCAGCTGGATCCCGAAGCCCTCTAGTCTGACTTCAGCTCAGGTCAGCCGGGTAAGAGGGTTTGACGAAGCCCGCTGGGTGGTTGTGGATGTGTGCGGTATGAGAGACAAAGCCCATGATGTCAGCTTGCAAACACGTTACCCCAGCGTCCATCCGAATTATTTTGTATATATCCGAGATCTCTTGCCTCTGTGGCGCTGGGTCGTCTGGCTTCAGAACTCAGCTGCGATAGGTTGAAAGACAAGAATAGTGATGCCCTTTCCACTGAAAGAGAAGCAGCTACCTTTAGAGAGCACTGCCATTTTTTTTAGTGGGGGGGGGCTTCTTTGAGAAAGAATTATTTGCCAGTCCTATAACTAAAATTTTTTATTGTGGAAAATAAGATGTTTAATTGTAAGGAAAGACAGCAATTATTGCATATTTCAAAAAAAGGGAGAGTATCATGAAGAAAGAAGGGAAAAGTAAAACAATGAATCGTGGGGTCTTTTGGAGCCTGTTTTTGGAAAAATCCTGCTTGATGGAGATTTTGTTGTCCTGACATTGTGGAAAGTGTCTTTGATGTTTGCCTCACTGAAAAAAATTGGTATTGCAAGGATAAAGTTTCAGCAACTTGTCAATACTAGGGCCCCCGGGTATTAACCAAGAGGATGAAAGCAAGAGCAAGATGACCGATTTGTTAAACTTATGTTTTTAAATTAAGACTGGAAGACTATCGAAGAACTTTTGAAATTTTAGAGTTTGTAATCCCTTCGTGTCATAATCAATAAAAGCTGATTAGTGGAAGATTAATCTTATTTCCTCAAGGTATTTCAAATGACAGATAACACCAAAATAGTGAATATATATTGCATGTATTATGTGTTAAAGTGTTTTCAGGAACATCTGAAGTAAGGGAAAGGTATGCTTTCTTTTGCTTAACTTTTAGTTTTTATTTTTATGATTTGTATAGGCAATGCCTTCACAAAGCTCAAAAGAGAAAAGGTTCAAAAATACAGCAAAACGATTTCTTGTCTATTCCACTACAACCCCCCAAGTAAGTTGTTAATTTGTTGTTTTCTTCCAAAGTGTTGTCATACATGAAAAGGCAAATGTGAGTGGACTTGTTATTCCCCCTTTGTATGTTTTATAGAGAGAGCCTACTGGATATGTGATAATCGACTACACACACACACACACACACACACACACACACACACACGTATAGTGTATACAGTATACACAGTTACATTATGTATATAATATATATACAGTAGCTCATGTCTTCATTTTTTAGTTACCATTATAACTTAGAGCCTTGTCTAAATCCATATGGAGAAAGCTTCCCAAATATCTTTTACAAAGGTCATAAACTGCTTAAACATGTTATGTGCTTTGTCTGGGAGGGCTTCTTTTGGGTCATGCATCTTTTGTTCACGTTTTATTTTTAGGGGTCATTCATATTGCTGTGTGCTGCTGGAGTTTCTTCCTTTTCATTGATTTCCACTCCTGCATTTTGTGAATCTGCCAACATGTACTCAGCAGTTTTACTCTTGATGGACATTGATGGTTTCTAGCTTGAGACTGTGGCAAGCACTACCTTCTATAAAAAATTCTCCTAGTCTCTTCAGGATGATAATTTCCTGTTTTTAAAGGAGAGTCCCCAGAAAGACACTGGACTCCCTGAAATGTAATGCAGATAGCTTCCTTTCTGACTGGTGAATAGAAAAATTGTCCAGAATAAACACAGAGACTTATTGGGAAGACAGGAATCAAGACCCTCTGAAGAGTAGTGTCTTTAGAGAAACTCAGGTGGCAGGGGCTGACCCAGAATTCTCCCCAAAAGAGACGCTCCAGGGATAAATCACTCTTAAAGGAGGGCTGGATCATCAGCTGTTGTCTTCTGAGATGCAGCAAAAGCAGAAAGAGAGGCAGTGAGAGTACTGCAGGGGTCGCAGTAAAGGTGTCCTAACCCTGTGTCTGTGGGTGGAGAAGAATGATGGCTACAGGGAGACCTTCAGTGAGAACCAACGCTGTGTGCTCTGATCAAAGGATTGGCCTTGCATTCATCCCTGTCCAAGATTTACACTCTTAAAGTAGTGACCTCCAAAGATTTACACTCTGCAAAGTAATGAGTACTCTGTTCACCGTTTGAGCCTACAGCCGCTCCTCTGTGAAATGATTTTTCCCTTTCTCAGTCTGCAGAAAGGATGGGAGAAGGGCTTGTTCATCCATGAGCACTCTTTAAATGAATAAATCAGATTTGTACATGTGGGATTTGCCTTTCCAGAAGTGATACTGTATATGCCTTTTTCCGGAACTTAGGGAAAAAAGCATATGAGTTTTTTTCACAAGCAATTTTCTTCTTGTTTTTCTTTTCCTGGTTAAGTGGAAGAAGATGTGACACTTTGGGTTCAGGTGGAGGAATGGGAGCCCTCAAGGTTTCCCACCCTTCTGCTTTCAGTGTAGAGAGCGGGGCTCCTATACAGCCCTGCTGAGCTCAGCCACAGCCTCCCCAACCCTATCATGGCTCAGTTATTGAAGCCTCCAATCCCATCGCTTACCCCTGTGTGGCTGAAAACACAGCTACCTGACATTTCAGTGCAGTGACTCATCTGAAATTGGGTAGCGATTTTACTTCAGTGTCTGACATAAAGTCCATGCTGTAGAAGGCTGTTATTCCTAATGTCTTCTCAGGTGTTTCAGTGGACTTGTCACTCAGTGTTTCTGTGCCGGGAAGATGTATTCCCTTTGACTCCTTCATGTCACCCATAGACTCCCTGAGGCCCTCTTAGTAAAGACCACTTTCTTTTTCCCCCTGAAAGGAAGAAGCAAATTCTGTAAAGTTTGATGAAGTTTTAATGAGCAAGTGTAAGAACTGAAGTCAGGAGAGATCATGTTGTTAGCCAGCTCTGGGAATCCATGGCCACATAGAAACAGGAATTATTTAAAGTGAAGAGTCTGGCTGTCACTCTTGATTCTAGCTATACACTGAAGTAAGGGAGATATCTCTCCAGACTTGCACCATCTTCACAGACTCTCGTGGGAGTCGATTTTCAAAGGTGTAATAGAACTGGCCATTGACCATTATCTAGAAGAAGAAAAATGCATCAGAAAGACAGTATTTCACTAAACAAGCTTCAACCTGCTCTCCACTATGTCCTAGTACCTGCAACATGCAACCAGAAAACACCTAATTATACATCTGAAGCCAGTAGACACACTTCTTTTTACAGACTACCTTTTGTGATTATTCGAGATAGTTCTTCACTATATTTTCAGCATTTCCTCTCATTCTCTAAAGAGGTTCTACCGCTCTGTGTCATATGTGTTTGTTTGGTCTTCTCTCTAGCCTGGAAAATCCCCGTGGTCAGGTACTGTGTTTCATAAACTTGAATCTCATCATCTTGCACAGGGCCTGCCATGGGGTTAGTGCTTGACAATGTTCATTGAATGCATACATTTCAGTTACATGAACTGACTCACATTCATTTCTCATGGCCCAGCTTCTCTTTGGAGTAGCCCAAATCTCAACTGGTGGTGTCAAAGAATAAAAGCCAAGTGTTCTCAGAATGATGAAAATGCACAGATGTTGCACAACGTTAGATGTTATCTTTAACATCTTATAAACATAGGGGGAAAATCCCTGACTTAAATCTGAATAAAACGTGAATCCTTTAGCATACACTTTGAAAGGTTAGAAAGTTTGATCACATTTTTCATTACTGAGGCTCTATAGGAAGTCCTCTTCTAGGTCGTATTCTCTAATTTAAAGCAAACAATTTGAATGGGTTATTCCATTGTTTGTAATTATTTTCCAATGTAAGTATTGGGAGGTTGATAATGATAAAAGGTTTCTAATAATTAGGAAGCTTAATACAGCATCCCTGTGAGAGCAAAACATTGGAAACCACCTCGGTGCTTTTGTAAAGATCATATTCAACAAGTTTTGATAATTTTTTGAGGGGAATAATATTCAATTTTTAAAAAATGAGACAGCACAGTTGATAGATGGTTTCTCCAAGGTATATACTTTGGATCCAAATAACTGTAGTTATTAAAGTGTTATGTGTAGAGAAATCTATGCCAGCATCTGTTTAAAAGAAATGAAAATATATTTGTGTGTGTGTGTGTGTGTGTGTGTGTGTGTGTGTATGCACTCATAAGCATAGACTGTCTGTAGAAGAAGAGTAGAAAAGCTAGTAATATTCTTCTGAGACTCTGGCATCAGGAGTAACAGAAATTTTTCATATTGGACTGACTATAACAATTCTATTTATTTAGCTACATGAAAATTGAAATAATAGCGTAAGTGAAAATGAGAACTGTGGATGAAGATAGAGGAGATTCTCCACCATGGAGGAAATGGTAGGTGAGCCACCCTTGACCCTGGTCAGATTGGGAAGGAGCTGTGGAGGGCAGTGCAAGCAGAGATGATGGCAGTGCACGCAACAACACTTGTTGAGAGAGGAAAATTATAAAAGTTAAGTGTCCCCTCTGTGTGTGAGGAAAAGCTTGAGACAGAGGTAGTTATGGGAGATAGGCTCCAAGAGTTTCTTGGAGGACGGGGAGAGCTGTCTCTTGCTCTGGGAGCCCATGGAGGCCAGGTGCTGGGAGCTCCTTGGGCACTCACCTGGTACCCATTGTCCACCACTCTAAAGCAAAGCTCAAACTCTTTGCCATCCTCAAAGGGCATCTTGTTGGATTTCAGCTCCTGCTTCCAGACCCCATTCTCACAGCTGTTCATGACCACATAACGGCCAAAGTACACTTTGAAATGGAAAGCGATGTCTGAGAGCTCATCCATCGCGGTGTGAAAATCCACCTGTAGCTGAGGTTCATTGCTGAAGACAAAGCACACAGTGTGTTGAGGAGGCCCCTGTCTTGTTGGGTACACACACAACATACCCACAAATCCTTCCCATTTTTCACCATGGCAGACAGAAGCCTTCCTGGTGATAATGCAGGCTTCCTCTCTGTGGGGCTGCTTCAGCTCCTCCTGCCCTAGATAAGGGTGGGAGAAGATGCTCTGCCCTTCATTCCCAGACAGAAACTTAACTACAGTCACTAACCTTGCGAGTGTCCACCTCATGAAAATTTTTGGCCCTTTATAGATAAAGTGCCACAATCTCCACCCCTGACTGTCCTCCTCACCTAGGTCTCATGACTGGCTCACAGTTCAGCCACTGCAGGTTGCATGCCTGGTGTTGGAGGGTATCCAGGACCTGCAACCTGCACGGTGCCTTCATCCTGCCAGCCAGACATTTCCACATCACTCACATGAGGTCACCCCCTGAGCAAATGTTCTCCCTCCTCTGCCCCACCACCCGTTGACACAAAAATACTCACATGAAAGGTTGGACAGGTTTCCCTCTAATTGTCACAGAAGTACCAATACGCAGGGACACAGCCTGTGTGTATGGCACCTGTCAGAAAACTGAGACTGAGTGAGAGGCACCAGACCATGTGGGGCCTACCCTGCTGTAACAGATTCCCTTTAGGCAGCTGTTTAGATGTTGAAGGGTAGACCCTGAGACCCCCCCTCTCAACCTTACTACAATTATAACCCTGTATTTTTTTTTTTTTTTCGAGACAGAGTTTTTCTCTTGTTACTCAGGCCAGGCTGGAATGCAATGGCACAATCTTGGCTTACCGCAAACTCCACCTCCTGGGTTCAGGCAATTCTCCTGCCTCAGCCTCCTTAGTAGCTGGTATTACAGGCACGTGCCACCATGCCCAGCTAATTTTTTGTATTTTTAGTAGAGACGGGGTTTCACCATGTTGACCAGGATGGTCTCGATCTATTGACCTCGTGATCCAGCCGCCTCGGCCTCCCAAAGTGCTGGGATTACAAGTGTGAACCACCGCCCCCGGCCAGAACCCTGTATTCTTGAATACATACTTAAAAGCAGAGCTTCAGAAACTGGGCTGCCTCAATTTTCTCCTTGATTCTGCCTTCTACTAGAAGTGAGAGGTTAACATTTTTTGAACACTATTCTTAACATGGGGTCTTATTATATTCCCCGGATGTGAGTGCAGTGGGCCCATCATTGCACACTCACTGCAGCCTCAACCTCCAGGGCTCCAGCAATCCTCTCACCTCAGCCCCCTGAGTAGCTGAGTACAGGTCCACACCACAAAACCAGCTCATATTTTATGTTTGCGGAGAGTCGGGTTCTTTTGATGTTGCCCAAGTTAGTCTGGAGCTTCTAGGTTCAAAAGATCCTCTTGCCTTAGCCTCCCAAACTGCTGATGTACAGGGGTGAATCACTTTGCTCTGCCAACAGTGTGACATTAGATTCACTACTGGAACTCCCCCACTTCCGTTTCCCCAGTACAGGCAGGATTTTCTAAAGGTCCTACTCTGTAGGACTTTTTCGGTAATATAGGAGTTAATATGTGTAAAGCCTTTACCCTAATCCCCAGAATGCAGTGACAGCATAACAGCTCACTACAGCCTTGAATGCCTGGACAGCAGTAATCCTCCAGCCTCAGTCCCCAAGCATCTGGGACTACAGGCACACATCAGCATGCCCAGCAAATGTTTAAATGTTTGGAAAGACAGAATCTTGCTGTGTTGCCCAGGCTGGTCTCCAAACTCTGGCCTCGGGTAATCCTCCCATTTCAGCCTCCCAAGGTGCTGGGATTACAGGCCTCAACCAACATCTTGATGAATATCCACTGTAAGCTCTGTCTGAACTGAAGCTAAAGTTCCTTGCTGTTTTTGGTGATTCCATTTCTGAAATGAAGTTCCCCAAAGTTCTTACCTAGAGAATCGTAATCTGCCCACCATCCTGGTGCTCAGTGTGAAGGACAGGCTAGGATGTGGGACAGGGAGAGACCTGAGGCTGGAGGCAGGAGCCAGTGGTCACTGTGTGCAGATCTTACCTGCAGATGCTCTGCACAATGTCCGCCTCCCTTCCCCAACTCTACATAAGAAGAGTCTCCTGAGAATTTGTGCATTCTGCTCTCATCAATGCTCAGAGACCAGTCCTTGGTAACTCACAGTCCCCAGAATCCTCACCATTTCTGCCACCTGGGATCCACACTGACACACATGGGAAGAGGCACAGCTGCTTCATCAGAGGTGCTGCTGTGTGTGGAGAAACCTTTCCATGCACAGAAGCCCACATGCATGTTTCCAGTTCAACACCCAGTCACATCCCAGCACACACACCCACAGTCACACAGAGCCACACCACTCAGAGCCACACATGCCCACTCGCTGTGAATATAAAGATGCTGACACACTGATTTGGCTGTGCTCACACAGTCACATCACAGTTACCATGACAGCATAGTCACCCCTTACACTCACGCACATACCCGCATGTCCTGATGGGGCCATTCACCTCCCACCTAAAGTCATATAATCTCAACAGACACCATACTCAGCAGACACCATCACTTGGTCACAGAGGGTTACAGTGGCCCAGGGTCCACCCTTCACACCCACAAGCATCTCAGACGTGAGAGCCCTAGGCTATCTCATTCACAAGCTTACAGCTCACAGTAGAAATGCTCATATTTGTATCTCATAAAATCTCCCTCTTTCCTTTTTTTTGTGACTTGAGATTATTGAAGACTGTGCCTTTTCAACTCACAGGTAGTGTTGACATTGTCGTCCCCTTCTGGGTGGCTGTTCCAAATTGTGTTCAGTCTTCTGTGTGAATCTCTTGGAGTTGCAGCATTTAAATGGTCCCTGGAAGCCCGTCCCTCTGACTTTATTTCTGTTTCCAAGTCCCTCCCAGGAAGGTGTCCCTGTGCGATAGGATGTAAGGTGTTAAAAAGAAGCTTAGTCACAACCACACCTGTTTGCAGGCCTATGACAGACAGGGAGGGAGTTATCAGGGGAGAAAAGGGGATTTCCAGGGAAATGCATAGATAAGGATGATGCAATGAGAGTTTTGATGTTCATACTCCATGTCTGTCCTGAAGCATTTTCTCCACTGTGCAGAATCCACCTGGCAGGTGTGCATTTTCTAACTTGTACAATGAGAATCAGGTGGGATTGTTGAGAAGGCTTTGGCCCTCAAATGTAATCCTGTTCTCTTCTCCAGAGTCTCTGAGAGAGCACTGCCCTTGATCCTCAGCAAGAAACTTGGGGGAGAGGTGGAGAAAGTCCTTGTGTCCTCATGAGCCCACCCCAGGCCCCTTGGCTCTGGTGAGTGGTGACCACTCTCAAACACCTGGGCTCCAGCCACACATCTCCTTTCTCTCGGGTGTCCATGTACATTGAAATCTCAGAGTTCCGGCTCTTCTGCAGATTCAAAGAGACAGGTGAGACTCTTGAGTCTAGGCCTTGAGTTGTGTGCTCCTTAGCTCCAGACACATGTGAGGACAGGTGCAGGTGCAGGTGATTGGACTTCGCTCATAGTGAAGTCTCACCTGAGGGTGGAAGACTCAGGACCCTTCCTCGAGTTCTCTTTCTCTGGTAGTAGAAAACATCTCAAAAACCTATATTAGAATTTTGAAGAAGGAATGTGTTAGAATTCCCCTCCTTCCATTTGTTTCCTCTCTTTCTATATTTTCCTCTTCAGTTTTATTGACTGTAAATTTAAGGTGTTTGCAAAAAGTTGATTCGAGTTACCAACAATCTATATTTTGGTGAGTAATTACTGACATAGCACTTCAATATTAGGCATGGCCTGTTGTGACGCCCATTGGTTCCTATTTGTCACTTCCCTGCCTTGTAACCTTCTTGCCTTCATGGGTAGCCCTGCTTCTGTCTTTCCTCCTTGCTTTTCTTTGAGTTTCACTGCTTTGTTGAATGTTGCTTGTAGGTGATTTTCCTGGAGGGCTCCTTCTGGCCATGCATCGTTAGTTCACATTCTCTTTTTAGGATTCATCTGTACTTGCTGTGTGAAGCTGTAGTTCCTTTATTTTCACTGCTGTACACTCTGAAGTTTTATAATAGATCAACACATACCTACCAGTTTTACTCTTCATGGACATTGGGAGGGTCCGAGCATGGGACAATTGCAAACACTGCTTTCTACACAAAATTGTCCAGTCCCATCATGCTGATCTTTTTTTTTCATGGAAAATTTCAAGACATATCACAGACTCCCTAAAATTTGAAACAAATCTCTCGCTTTCTGACTGTGAATGCAAGTACTGTTCATAAGGCAAACAGAGACTCAATGAGAAGGCAAGAATCAGGACACACTGAGGATTCGAATCTTTTAGAAACCTCTGGCAGATGGGCTGCCCAGAGTCCACCCAAAAGCAGACATTCCAAGAGAAAAGTCAAACTTAGGAATGATTATTGGTCATGATGGGTCTACTAGGTCTAGATTTAGGCTCTGACATGGAATAGGTTGCAGTGGTAGACACTGTAGGGGATGGCAATGGAGGTTTCATAACCCCATCTTAGTGGGGGAAAGAATGGGACCTGCAAGGAAGATGACCAGGGAGAGCTGATACTGTGTGCCCTGATCAAAGACTTCACCTTGCAACCTTCACCGACCAGTGTTCACACTCTGCAAAGTAGTGACTGCCATGGCACTGTTGGAGCCTGAAGCTTCTCCTCTGTGAAATGGCTTTTTCCTTTCTCAGTCTGTAGGACAGCGGGAGCAGGGCATGGTCATCCATGAGCACTCCTTACATGAACAAGTTAGCTTTTTCTAAGTCTGGGTCTCAACCTTTCCTGAAACGAAGTTGCATATTCCCCATGCCTAACCTGGAAGAGACAGCATAGGAGTTTTATTTTTGTTTTTTTCTGGTTGAGTGGAGGGACCTGTGAGCTCTGGACTTCAGGTAGTGAAAGAGCCCCTATGAGTGCCCCCTTCTTTTCACTGTAAGGTGTGGCTTTCATTCAGCCATGCTCAGCTCAGAAACATTCCCTCCCAGCCTGCTACTCACTCAGTTATTCACATTCCAAATCCACTGTCAGCCCAGAAGCCTGCACACACGCCCTTACCCTTCTCTTTCAATTACAGCCTTTCTGACACCTGTGGGAATAGTCCTTATGCTCTACATGAATAAAACAGCAATGAATTGAAAATTTTTTATTTCTGCAAGTTCACTCAGGACAGGCAGTTTTGTATCTACTCTGAGTGTCTTGCTGTTTTTCTTAATAAACAAATGTCTTTTCTATACTTGTCTCTGTGACCAGTGATGTGGCAGAAATAGAATTTGCAAGATTCCAGCAGTGAGTCATGAATCTTGTATGTCTGCACCATGGATTTTCTGCAAAACTGTACCTGGCTTTGTAACTACATGTGCAAAGGAACCATGGTCAGATGTTCAGTTTGCTTAAAAATTTACCCGGGTCATAAGGACGTGAAGTAATGAAGAGCCTTGGCAGCCTCCCCGTGGTTTCAAATTGATCTGTGTTATTTCCTCAGTTTCAAGTTGAATAAAAGCATTGGACACACTCAGAACATGGTAGAATTTCACGTTGGTTCAGTCACCCCTACAAAGAGGGCTGTGATGGTGGCAAAGAATAATGGAAGTCATTAGAGCTGTCTCTACCTACAAAAAAGAGAAAATAGATTTCTGGAAGGTCTCAGCAATGATATGGCCTAGTGACTGCCGTCCTTTTCGTTGCACTCTAAAATAGGCATGCTCATTGCATTTCCCCTTGTCTGTTTCCATCTTGTGTGTCTGATGTGTATAGAGCCGATAATGGGTTCCTTCAGTGTGTATGTTGAGAGAAAATGCAGCAGATAATTTGTAGTCACCTCATGGACACCACTCCTAATAAGATGACAAAACACTGGAGTTCACTCTGAGTTTCTTTCTGTAACTGTGTTGCTTTCAAGAGTTCTTTACAGGGTTATTGTGTTTACTGTGTGAGAGGCAATGAAGCCATGGGGACTGAGTGGGACTAATTGCCAAAAAAAGTCACTCAGGTCAAAGTGTCTGACATAAAGTAGGGCTACTGAAGGATGTTGTTTCTAAGGTGTTCTCAGACATCCTAGGGACCATTGTCACTCACTCCTTGTGTACAGGAAGATTTTACTTCTTTGATTTATGGACGTTTTCCATAGAATCCCCAACTGCTCTTGGAGGAGACCCCTTCCTCTCTTCCACCTGAAAGTAAAATCAAATCCTGAAAATCTGGTGAAGTTTTAATGAGCAAGTGTCAGGGTTTGAGTGAGAAGGGATTATGTTATTAGCTGGCTCGGGAATCCCATGGTCACATAGAAAGAGGGATACCACAATGGGGAGTGTGGTTATTACCTCAGTCACAGACACACATTGAGGTCAGGTAGACACCCGCTTCACACTTGCAGCATTTTCACAAACCATGGCAGGAGTTGATGGGCAAAGTTTAACAGTGTTGGCCATTTAGCACGCACACACACTCACGCACACACCACACACCACAATGCATCAGGAAGACAGTATTTAACCAAACTTTCAGCCTACTCTGTCCTTGTAACTATAATATTGCACAAGGAACTACTATAATTATGCCTCAAACCCGTGAATTATGAAATCATTATATCTGCACACCATGGATTTCTTGAGAAACTGCACCATGGACTTCTTGAGAAACTGGCTTTCTCAAGAAGTCCATGTATGTGCAACAGAAAACGTAATCATATTTCCTGTTTTGTTAAAAGCTCACCAGGGTCACAGCCAAGGGAAAGTAATGAAGAGCCTTTGGCAGCTCCTTGGGCTCCAAATCTTTGTGTGATTATTTGTTCAGTTTCAGGTTGCATCAGAAAAGGCAGTTTGAGCCAGGTGCAGTGGCTCCGCCTGTAATCCCTACTGTTTGGGAGGCCAATGTGGGAGGATCACCTAAGGTCAGGAGTTTTGAGACCAGCCTGATCATCATGGCAAAACCTCATCGCTATTAAAAATACAAAACTAGCCAGGCGGTGGCTGGCACATGCCTTTACTCCCAGCTGCTAAGGAGGCTGAGGCAGGAGAACCACTGGAACCAGAAAGGGGAAGGTTACAAGAAGCTGAGGTCGCACCCTTGCCCTCTAGCTGGGGACAAAAAGCAAAACTTTATCAGAAGAGAAGCAGAGAAAAGAGAAGAGCAGAGAAGGAAGGAAGGGAGGGAGGGAGGGAGGAAGGGAAGGGAGGGAGGGACAGAAGAAAGAAAAGAAGAAAAAGAGAGAAAGGAAAGAAAGGCAGTTTCAGATGCATCAGAGAGGCTTCTGTTTACAGACTACCTTTCTCGCTATTTCAAACAGTAGCTCACTGTATTATCAATGTTTTCCCTCTCTCTCATTCTTACAGTGGGATTCTACACTTTGTGTTACACGATCTCTTCTGTTGCTTAGCCTCCACTCTAGCCTTGAAGTTCCCATGGCCAGGACTATGTCCTGTGATGTGAATCCCTGTGTCTTGCACAGGGTTAAACGGAGGGTTAGTGCTTGATAATGCTCATTTAATGCCATCTTTCAGTTCCTTGAACTATGAGTCCATTCCACTCCAGTGGCCTAGTTTTTGTTTACTCTATCTGAGATCTGAGCTGGTGGGTGGCAAGATAAACACGTGTTCCTATAGATTTAAAACAGGACTAGTGTGGCAAAACATACGATATTATTTTAATAGCTGATTAGCATATAAAAAGATTCTCAAATGTGAATAAAAATGTAAATCTTTTGGGCATCAACATTAGGGAAGCCAGAAAGTTTGAACATATTCTTTACTACTGAGGTCAATAGAGAAAGGTACTTTATAGGTGGTTTATATATGCGATTTGAAATGCACACACTTTGACCCAGTTACTCCATTCTCTTTCTTTGTAA